GGAGAATGTCATTCTAAGTGAAGTAAGCCAGAAAGAGAAAGGAAAATGCCATATGAGATCACTCATATGTGGAATCTAAAAAACAAAAACAAACAAACAAACAAACAAAAACAAAGCATAAATACAGGACAGAAATAGACTCATAGAGAATACAGACTTGTGGTTGCCAGGGGGGCAGAGGGTGGGAAGGGATAGACTGGGATTTCAAAATTGTAGAAGAGATAAACAAGATTATACTGTATAGCACAGGGAAATATACACAAAATGTTATGATAAATCACAGAGAAAAAAATGTGACAATGAGTGTGTATATGTCCATGAATGACTGAAAAATTGTGCTGAACACTGGAATTTGACACAACATTGTAAAATGATTATAAATCAATAAAAAATGTTAAAAAAAGAAAAGACATTTTAAAGCACCATTTCCTCCTCCCCACATCTTGCTTATGGATTAGGAATTTTTAAAAATCATGTGTTCTGGTCCAAAGTCTGGAAAAAAAAATCCCATAGTCATCCTGGGCCCTCATTTCTTCATATTAAATTACAGAGGTGGGATACAACTAGGCTAAGACCTTCCAAATTCTAAGTGCTATGACTATTTGAAGTAAATGAGCATTTTATTGGAAGAAGAAATTTCCAGAATTTAAAGAAAATCTGCCATCCATCAAACAAAATCATTGAGGAAGATGCACACTCTGAATGGAAGATGATTTTCCCTTTCCTTCAGCACTTTTTGTCAGCACTTGCTCATTTACTGCTCTCTGACTTTTGTGGGGTTTTTTCCTCCCTTAAGCTGTCCAGAGGGCAGGGACCATCTCTTGAACACTTTATATGTATGTATGTATGTACTAATGTATGTACTAAATGCAGTAATATTTACTGTTATGAATGAATGAATCTTGCTAAGATTTCATATACTTGCACGGAAGAGTATTAAGTGCCCCTGGGGGAGCATGGGCAATGGGTGAGAGTGATGTGAGGGGAATGGCTCAAATTAAACTAAGGGTGAACTCCGTGCAGAATTAACAAGGAGGACAGGACGCCTGCGCGTGCTCTCAGCTGAGCGATCTCACTCTTGGCATCCCATTAAGAGTTTCTTAACATTTACTCTGAACTAAATGCCTCTACCATGAAACAGGAAATCATGAAGCAGAAGGAACTTCGGGAAATAACATTGAGAAAAACAGCTGCCAGGCATTAAGGATTTTAATCCAGTCCCCAGTACAGTTTCATATGTGCCAAGTGGCTATTTTAAAAATAGTCATAATAATGATAGATGATAATGATCATCAGTACTTTGGAGGGTGCAGAGGAAGAATTGGTCCTTAATGCCTTCTGTACTGTATTTAGCTCTGTCTCTAACTTACTTCATCTCATAGGGCCATCTGTGCCTCTGGTTTCTCATCTGCAAAATAGAGATCATATCATTTCCTACAGAAATCTGTGGGCTGTACTTTAATATCCTCCAGTGAAACATTATGTATACATACAAAGCAGGCAATGAGAAACCAAATGCTACCAAGGGAATGAACTTTAAGGCGAGAGTATTATAAATTAAAATTAATTAAGATAGTCTAAATATTCTAATGATTTGAAGTAGTTTAGGCAAATGTACGTATATTACATTCACTTTTGATTTTTTTAGTAAGTGGGAACATTAATTATAAATAAATTAATTCCAGGATAGTTTAATCTACTTAACTCAATATTTTATACATATTTGTCTAAAATAGTAAGTGGGTTTGAAATTAATTTCTGAAGCAAACCAACATTATTCATTGTCAAAGGAGAAAGAATTCTTTAAAGTACTTTAATAAATACATACAAAAAAGAAGAAATATTTCTCCTTGGTTATTGAGAAGATATGGGGGACAAAATAAAGTTAAGAACAGCCTACAATTGTGTGGTTCATACAGCCAAACCAAAGAAATTATCTGAGAAAATTGACATCATTTGAGCATATCAGCAAAATGACATTGGTTACTGTCTCCCAGAAAGCTTAAATTGCCTTATTTTCTCAATTCCCTTTAATGATACATATGGTTCCTTGTTTTTAATTTTCAGTTCAGCCTCATGGTGCATTGCAAAATTCAAAAGATTTTTAATAGACTTTTGTAGGTCTCGATTTTTTAAAGTTAATTTCTATTTTTATCTATACACAGAGATCATTTTTGAATATAGCAGAAAGGCTCCTCTAATCATGATCCTGCCTGGAGCTGGGATGAGGAAGACACTGTGAGGAAGAAAGAAGGCAGATGAAAACTTAGGAAGTGAGTGACAGCACCTGCTACAGCTTAGGACACAGGTTCACATAATGGCACTCTTGCATGTTCAGAGTAACCTTCACAGGGATAGAATGTATTAGCCTTTCTTTCTCAAAATCAGCTTCTGGTAAACTGGTGAAAAAGTTGAACAAAATTTTAGGTACATTTTCCTTTTCAAATCAGTTTCAATTTTCTCAGTTTTTCTAGATTGGCCGCCATTATTTTGTCTATATTTAAGACTGTAGTATTATCTTTCAAGAGTTGGGTTTGGAAAGAGAAGTATACCTCTTATCAACTTGCCTTTTAAATAATCATGCACTTAGGGTTTTTTTTTTTTTGAGGGGGAGATAATTAGGTTTATTTATTCACTTACTTTTAAAAGAGGTACTGGGGATTGAACCCAGGAACTTGCATGCACTCTACCACTTGAGCTATATACCCTGACCTACAATAATCATGCACTTAGATTAAATGTTTCTCTCAGAGAAACAGCCCAGATGCAGAAGGCCAGAGTTTGTCTATACAGACCTTCGGGTGGTATTATATAAAATCTGTTTGCACCAAATTTCCTCCATGAAATCTATAAAGAAAAAAATGCAAAAGGAGAATGAGAATTTTGGTAGAGGGAAACCAAAATACACTATAAAAGATTTTTGTAAGCATGTATTCATATATAGAATAATAGACTACAGAAATATAAAATTTCATTAGCTCCACATTCTAACCAACTGAGCTAACCAGTCCACAGAAACATAAAATTTCAGAGGTGAAAAGAAACTTAAAGCCTAATTCTCCCTTCAAGGTTTAAATACAAATTAATTGCTTCAGTCTCAAAAGTGTGGAAAAAATATCATTTTCCTGATTATTTTGCTATAGCTTAATTTTCATTTTGAGATCCTGGGATAGAGAACAGATACAATCTGATTCAGAGCTTCCGTCCCTCTTACCTGATACTCTGGTGTTGTGGCACATGAGTGTGGAAAGGACATCCATGCTCTGTGTCATTGCCTGCATGGTCATCCTATGCTCCGTTTTATCCAGCGAGATCTGTCCTGCCCGTCTACCTGCACCTTCGGGCCTGAAGCTACTTCTTTCTTTCAAGACATTTACGCAAATACCTGAGTGAGGCCCTGGACTCACTACAAACTCTACACAGGGACCTACTACCTGGATAAGGGGCAGCATTAGGGCCCCTTCATCCAGAAGGTATAGATGTCTACAGTCTTATCACTTACCCCTGACTTCTCTTTTCTATTGTCCTCCAATCCAGGGAAGCTTTTTGCACTGAGGGGAGATGATACCTCCTCCTTAAACCATCTCAAACTTTTGGCTTATCCAAGCTTTCTCAACGTTTGGCTAACTCAAGCTTTCTCAGCCTTGGCATTATTGATATTTTGGACCAGATAAGTCTGTTGTGCTGGGCTGTCCTGTGCATTATAGGGTATTTAGCAGCATCTCTGGCATTTACTCATTAGATGCCAGTAGCATACCCTAGTTCTTGAAAATCATTACCAAATATCCACCGGGCTAATCCTGAGAGTCCCCTCGGTTCTCCTAAAACCTAGGCTACAAAAACTGGAAAGAGACTCACAGGCTATTTGCTTTCCTTTGAGGCAATGAATGCCTTCCTCCTTTCCTTGAGGTAATACATATGAATGTGAAGAGCCAGGCAAAGGAGGGAGGAGAAATTAGATGCAAAAAGTAATATGGTTAATATTTCAAAAGTGTTATCCCATCTGTGCTGTACTTTCTCACCTGTCACCTTAAAAGGTGCACGTCATTCTAGTATCTCCTTTGCATGTCTATTACCTTTTATACATGGATTGCAGTGAATACACATATAGAAAGAAATTTAAGAGGGAGTAGGAAGGGATTTAACTGCTAAATTCTGATCAATACAGCTGGCAAAAGGATTATTGTTCACGCCCAACACACAGCCTAGAGCTGTGTTTCTCGATGTTAAACTTTCCTTTCAGATTTAGAACCTACACTCCCTCTAGTGAATTACAGATAGGCTTAGGTGTTTGAAGAGACAGGTAAATCAGAGACCTTGCATCTGATGCCTTTAACCCTTGTAAGAGTCATTCCAAGGAAATCAATGAGAACCAGCAATAACTCTACTGACAGCAAATCTTTCATCAGTTCATCTCCAATAGAGATTTAGCCACTTCTCCAGGTGCTGTATCTCTTATTTATTCATTCATCAGTCGCTTATTTAAGTTTGGAAATAAGTGGCTCCTAAATCTCCAGGACATAAATAGCCATTAAACGTTCACATAAAACTATGCTGGAGATTACAGTTTGAGTTCTGTGACGGTCTCCAGACCTGTATTCTGCCTATTAACTAACTTATTGCCTTGCTACAAATGGGGGAAAACAGTGGGACAAACTGAGGCTAACAGGGGAGATATTTTAGCTCCTGAAATCTCATGTATAGAGAATCTTAAGTCATTTCAATGTATTTTAAAAGCCTTGCATGCATACAAAAAGTCTTTTGATTCTACTCTGGGCATCAGTATTGATTTCAATTCCTATTTTATTCACATACTCTCAGGTCATTATCCATGATTCATTTTTCTTTTGTTGACAGAACTCTTACTATAGCAATAGCTGGTTGTGATATAAACCTGCTAAATGTTTACAAGCATTTGGGGGAACTTAGTCACTTTGCTATAAAGTTATTTACATTATATAGTGCTACGTCAGTAGACTAGTAGGAAAGCACTAATCCTTTCCCTTCACCCAAATTCAGCTGAAAATAAGCTTTTTTCCCTGAGCATCTCAGATCTGGTGTGCAGCAGCAACTGGGAGTCACCCTACCCCTTCCGGGCTGCCAAGAGCTCAGCAACGCCCAGAGTCGGGCTGAAGCAGAGGCTTTTCCCTCCAGCCCAATCAGACTTGTGTTTGAGCTCCATTATCAACTTAGCACACCACGTGATTAACTTACAGTTCCTTTTCTATGAGTGAGGCCACTTCGGATTTGTGTATCTATCTGCTCTTAGTTACTCTACATAGTCTGCTTTACTCTGCACCAGTATAGTAAATTATGCTCATTCATATTTGGGATCTGGCTTATAGATCTACAGCAAACAAACATTTTTTCAACATCCTCTTTTTTTTTTTTCCCCTGAACCTGAGAATTGTTTGGTTAAGAACTATTCTGGCCTACACAGTTCCTTTTGCTTCAGGGATTCTAGTATTTTGGCATTGTATACTGACTCAAAGTATCATCCTTATGAATATTAATCATTGTTATGGTAACTGGTGAAAACATCAGTTTAATATTGTTTTCTGAATAACATTGCAAAAAATAAAACCCTCAACCACTTCTTTTTTTTAACGTAGCATGTAGACACTAACATTGACATAGTTTTACTCTGTGCCAGGCTTTGTGTTAAACAGATCATGCCACTGAATCTCACAACTGCCCCATGAGGTATATTATTGTCTCACTTGGATTCTTCTGAAAATAGAGTTTGAGACAAGGGCTTTGTACAGTTGGTTTTGGGGAGGTGATCCTTGAGGGCATGAATGAGGGCTAGAGAAAATCAGACAGGGAAGAGAGAAGAATGCATCAGTAAGAGGATGCATTATTTGGACACCACAGTGGGCTACTGGGACTTGATCTACTGGACCGCCTGAGAAGTGGGAAGATGCCTCCTGCAATTGTCCAGCAGAAGGCCAGGAGGCTGGGGCATTGATCCACTGGTTCCCATGTCCCACTGGTCAAGGTTTACCCCCAGGGCTAGGGAGCCCTCCCAGGGAAGAAAGCAGAGAAGCTAGGCCCTGATGGCTCTCAGGGAAGTGAGTGGTTGCAGCCAGCACTGGCCCACTGCAGACACGGCTAAAATCAGAGGTGAAATATGAGTTGGGGCAACAGAAGCTACTGACACAGTTATGATCTCCCCATTTTACAGAGAGGAAACCAAGGTACATGGAAATTACTTCACCTGCTTATTAAGGTCACAAGGTGGGTCAGTGGTAGAGCCAGGATTCAAACACTGGCCATCTGACCTCAGGGCCATGGCCCCAACCATGTGTTATGAGTGGAGCAACAGCGGCACTCCACTCTTCTCAGTGTAGCGCCACCTACAGGTCTGAGCGGTCCATCCACCAATTCCATTTACAATTCAGATTTGGGACATTTATTCAAGCATTGCATTTTCTCTGGGAATTCATTTGTCAAGTTGCAACAACACAAGAAAATGTTACTGCAATGCTGCATCTGCATTTTGGGAGGGAAATACATACCTTTCATTTGAGATCATGTAGGAAGAGAGATGTTCAGATAGTTATATCACTTGAGAGGAGAAAAGAAACAAACAAAAAACCCCAGCTCATACAATGTTTTTTGAGTTCAGAAACTTCTCAATTTTTTATTAAAACATAATTCTTCAAAGAGTATAGAAATACGCCTGACCATGACCTGTTAGAAGTCAACCATCTGCTTCGAACATACATAAGAAATATCTACCAAATTCTGGCTCACCAGAATTTATTAAGATGTGCACACACATTATCAGAAGGACACCAAAGTGGCTACATTTGACAGATTCTTCTAAAGTGGACACAGTTTTCTGACAGCTGATGTTTCCCCTGGAGGAAAGCTGTAACGACTGTGAAGGTTTGGAAAGATGAGCTTGAACAGCCACAAGGTGAAGTATCAGGACGAGGAGCTACAGATGGCATGCACAAAGAACAGGGGCCCTGGAGAGAGGTGGTGGCAGTCCCCTGTTTCCACTGTGAGCGCACACTGTTCCGAGAAGACAAGCACAGAGGAAGGTACTCCCTCCTCGGGGGAAGGGTCTTCGGGTTCATAGTCAGGAAGCACAAGACAGCACACTCAGAAGAGGACAGGAAAAGGTAACTCCCTACACATAGTCTGACCTTTCTCCAAGGGACAAGGGTCAGTGTGGTTAAAGGAGAAGATCAGTGAGGACCACCGCCTCTGGGATGTGGAGTTTGCAGCTGAAAATGCCCACGTCCCTTTAAGCTGACTCAAGGCACCAGACTGGCTCCCTTACATACCACTGACAAGAACAAAACACCCCGCAGAGAAGAACTTGATCCACTCTCATGTAGAGTTAAATGTTGTTTGTGGTTTGAGTTCAGCTTGGTCAAACTCACCCCAAAGTGGACTTCAATCGCTTGTAAGAGCCCCCCTGGGACTGATAGGTTGAGGACACTGTCCTCCCTCTTCTATCCTGTCCAGCTCCTGCTACAGCTTCCCTGGGAAGGAGGAAGTGGAGAGCTCACCTGGGCTAGGCGTTGCCTTGGCATTTTACAACGACGAATTCCTTCTTCGTGTTGTGTCCCTCTTTTGTGCCCCAAATGAAGGCAGAACCACAGATGCACAGACTGAAAGTGAGACTGGCAATGCCCAGTTCTGCAGTCCTCTTGTTCTCTTTGGAGGGGAACCAACTTTTCTTATTTTGGAGGGCAGAATCACCTTTCCTATTCAAGTTTTTTTAGCTTGATGTTTCCAGAGGACCCGTTTACATTATAACTTTGCTTTTTTAAATAGCCTTTTAATTCCAGAAGTTTGCACAAGATAATCTTTTTCAGTATACTTTATTCCTACTGATTGCTGCACAGAACCTTTCACATGAGATCATGTGGGAAGAGAAAAGACTAGAATGTGGATATTTCTTAGACTTTCTCCTCCACCTCTAAGATTTTCTCTCATTTGGGGGGGGGGGGACACAACTTAAGGGGGAAAGACATGGTAAAGAGCTTGCAGTGTTTTTCAACCAACACTGCAAACATATCTTTCTGAGGCCTTAGTGATGTCAAGAGAATGTCAGGATAATCAAGGACAGAATATCTCCCTTATCCCTGGGCACATCCACTGCCATGTTTGTCAAAAGGGGTGCAATAGTCATTCATCTCTCACCTACATCCCAGCAAAGGAAATCAAGGGCATCAGGAGAAACTGTCAGTCACATGATTAGGACTTCCAGAGAAACAGTGTCAAATGCCCTGGCCCTATCTTCCCTGGAGATACAGATAAATACAAAACATTTTAAATATTTGTCATTTTTAAAGCCAATCAAATAGGCATTTTCTTTGTTACCACATGGCTCCATCATTATATTGGGTTTCCCTTAAAAGGCCTCTGCTCCCTTTGAGCCCAGGGATGCTCTTCTCTCCATGTATTCTCTGCAGGGTCCTGGAACTGACATAGCCCCAGACATGCACACAGAGTACCTACCCAAAACCTAGTCCCCACTACCTAGCTCTTGTCTCCACAGAGAGGAACGTGGACTTTAATAAGGACATGGACCATGAAATAAATAAATAAATATATGTATATATATTTACGCCCTCAATAAAGAGGACATTTGATTGGATATAGATTTCCCTCTCATTCAAAAGCATTCAGCCCATATAGGAGCGTCAGCCCATACTGGGTTGCAATGAGATCATACAAATCACAGGGCCGAGGGATGTGAGGGCAGGAATGTGGATGCACTGTTACTTCCAGGGATTTACAAGCCTTGCTAGGAGTCCACCTTGGGGAAAATGCTCACTTTATTGTTTCTGCTCATCTTCCGCTCCACCCTGCCTACCTTGGGCATCTTTGTCTGGATTAGCTCTTCTGGGGTGTTGCCCAAGGGGGGAAGCAGCCTCTTCTTGCTGTTTCGGGTCTCTGAGAGCCACTGGGGAGGCAGCTCAAAAGGCCCAAAGCCAAACTGCAGGGAATACTTGGCAGGGAATGTCTCGGGTTCCACGGGGACTGCTGGTGCCACCTGGGATACAGAGTCCACTGTACCTGGGGGTGGGGCGGGGGATGCAAACTCTGGCCCCTGCTCTGCCTCCAGGCAGGGGGTGAGTAGCTCCTTAGCCTGGAGGTCAGCTGAGCCAGCGTACTTGGTTTCGCTCTCTTCCTCATCCTCCGTGGGCTTAAATATCTGCTGCTGCCCGATGTGGAACATCTCCAGGAGCTGGCTGCCTGAACGCATGCTGGGCTCCAGGCTGGCATCAGCCACCTCGCTCCCTGTGCTGACCACATTTCGGCGACTGTACCGATGGTGCAGTTGTACCAAGGTCCCCACCAAGCACTTGCGGACGGATCTGTTCACAGTAAGAAAGAGCACAGGGTTCGCCAGCAGAGAGACTTTGGGCAGCCAAATGGCTGTGAGCAACAAGAAGACGGAAGTATCTGGGACATTGAGCACAGTCTGGTAGACAACCAGGGTGGCGTAGGGCACGCTACATAAGATGAAGACCATCACCATAGACAGCAGGGTGGCGTGCAGCTCAGCCTCCCTCGGGGAGGCGTAGGGGATGGAGATGGTGTTCTGTGGGGTCCGGAGGGCTGCTATGATGACCTTCTTTTTCTGGCTGGCACTTAGGGCCCGTCGGATCAGTATCAAGAAGAGGAACACCACCACCACGGGCACAATGACCGTGGTGATGTTATAGACCAGAACGTAGACCAGGTGGCCCAAGGAGTTGCTCCAGACTTCGGTGCAGGTGGACATGGCATAGATGTCGGCCACATTGGTCACCGCGAACACAGGGATGCTGGCCACCACTGCATGGCCCCAGATGTAGATCACTAGTTCTCGGGACTTGGCATCAGATATTTTTCTCTCCAGCGGATAGAGGACGGAGTAATACCTGCAAAATGCACAAGCAAAATTTATTTCACAGAAGATTTTAAATTAGAGGAATCAATCTTAGTGGGAAACCACTGGGGGAATTAGTAAGCTAGACCTTAAGTTTTGAGGAGTTTGCTGTACTATTCATAGTTAGCTTTATAATTACTGCCACCAGAACTAAATCCCAAAGAGTGCCCTCAGTATAAAGGATATCTCCTTCTGTTGTAAAGACATCTATTTTTCAATTTAGGCATAAAGAGTAATCTGTAAGAAATTTTACATGGGCTGGAGGAGCTTTAGGGCAATTTTCAAAGCCGCTAAAAGAAAGAAATATGTCTGCTCCCCTATCCAAAGTGGACTCATGCCACGGTGTATATGCATGGATATTGTGAGCATTCACAGCCGCCTGGGGCAGAAGAACCCTGTATGAGGGACGGACTCTGACAAAGTCCTTCCACAAAATCAATTCGACTGAAAAAATTATGCCTGCTCAAGAGCCATTCTTTCCATGATAATCACTAGTACCCCTAAGAGCAATTAATAGGTCTAACATGGCTGCCTGAGGACTTTTTTCCTTCAAACTTGACTTGATTATTCCGTAACCACCTAATCAGAATTCCAAAAGCACCATGTTTCAAGAGGACCAATGATTTGGGGAAACTGAGTAATTTCTTAGCCCCTAGAGGCACGCCTGTCATGAAAGGGCAGCCAATAGCCAGCAGAGATGTGGCAAGTTTCTTCACCCTTGCTCGGCCCACGTCTGTGCAGCCAGCTAATGCTGGAGTCGACCTTATAGCCTATTAACACGCATTCCCTCCTCGGGACAGGTGAGCATGCGTGCCTTCCTGTCACAAGAATTTCTGAATATCATCTCTGTGCTACATATTGTACCAAGCACTGGGATACAAAGATGAAAGGAAACACAGGAATGTTTCTAACTAAATGGGAAAAAAGGGATGTAGACAAACAAATGACAAACGAGTAGGTGATGGCTCTTTTGGAGGTATGCATAAAGGAGGCAGGGGAAAGGGAGCACCTGGGACAATGTCAAGTCTGGAGTCTGGCAGGGGACAAGCTGGGGGAGAGACGATGCAAACACAGGACAACCGTGATGACCAGAGATGGATGGAGCATGGTAAAATGTGTTCTAGATCTCTTTCTGAGGGGGAGGAAAAGAGAAAGAAATGTGTAAGTTACACATGCTCTCAATTTTTTTTCTCTGAATATAGATGAACTTTTCTAACCACATCTCAATAAATCCAATGTGATGGCACCACACCCACACATGAATACATGCCAGGAGACCAATGTCTCTGATTCTCATTTGCTAAATGACACGTAACAAACCCAGGCCTCTGGTCATTTCTGATCCCATGATATGTTGGCAAACAGACTGCAACACAAGCACATAGCCTCACGATGAATAATTCTGTTAGCATGTACATCTCTAGGAGATGATGCAGGAAGTGTAAGTGGCCTCCCAATTAACTTGCTGATTTGATGCCATGAAACAAACATCTGAGAAAGAAGTGAGACAAGGGACTATTTTCCTTTTGTCTTGGTGCACACCGTACTTATGCTTTTGAGTAATTTGCATCTCTGAATAATGAAATAGGAATTTACCAACCTTCTTCTTCTACTGAAAGAACTTGTTTACCCCCTTTTAAAAATGATGGCAAAAATACAGTAGACTTTCTGCTGGAAAGAAAGTAAGAATTCCTTATCATTTGCATATTTTCTTGCCTAAAGCCAAAGGCTCAAATATAACACACAGGGATGACTACATTGCTTCCAGGTAGAATAGCAAACTGTTCAGAATAATGTGTTTCCACTCTTGTTGAATTCTATACTTAAAAAACTTTCAGAACTCATAGCAGCATTATTCACAAAAGCCAAAAGGTAGAAACAACCCAAATGTCCCTCAGTTAGTAAGTGGTTAAGGAAAAATGTGGTATATGCATACAATGGAATATTATTCAACGATGAAAAGGAATGAAGTAGGTTGTTAAAAGAGTAGATAAGAATTCTCATCACAAGGAAAATTTTTAAAAAATTGGTATCTATAGAAGATGATGGATGTTAACTAAATCTATAGTGAATCATTTCACAATATGTGTAAGAGAAGTCATTATGCCATATACTTTAAACAATGCTGTATGTCCACTGTAACTCAATAAAATTTGGGGGAAAAAAGTACTGATACCTGCTATAACACAGATACCTGCTTTAAAACATTATGCTGAGTAAAAGAAGCTAGACACAAAAGAACACATAGTGTATGATTCCCTTTATATGAAATGAATAAATAAACCTAATTACCTCCCCCAACAACAAAAAAATTTTATTAAAAAAAAAGGATGGGAAGAGAAAACCACCACCACCACAATATAAAATCTTGGAAATAAAGCCTCCAAAGGAATTCTGGTAATATCTGGCCAGGTCCAACTGGACTTTCTAATCATTTGTTAAATAACCACTGAATTGTTCTCTTGTTCTTCCAAAAATATTTTCATCCTGCATCAAAAGGCCCTAATTGCAGAGTTATCAATCTGACGAGCAAACAACTGCAAATTGCAAGCAAACACCACCGATTCCCACCAAGCTGAAACTGTGTCACAACCCAGCTCTGCCCTACCCTCTCATGATGTAAACCTGCCCCCTAATGCCACATCTTCTCTCAATGGTCCAACTGGCCATAGCTGCTGTCTTTTATGTGGCATTCTGTTTCAGCAACTCATTCTCCTTTTGTTGACCACAAGCAGATTAAAAGCCGTCTGTGGAACATTGACTATTCATCATTTGCTTCATGATGCTAATTTTTCTACATATTAAAAAAAAAGTTGAGCCCCTGACTACCTGATCTTACCTGTCCAAGGCAATGGCAGGGAAGCTGAGGATAGTCACAGAGCAGAAAACTTTGTGCAAAAACTTGACGACCTTGCAGAAGAGCATGGTGTAGATCCACCAACAGCAGTGAGGACTGGTGCTGAGGATGATGTCAAATGGCACACAGACCAGGCTGGCACAAATCCCCGAGCAGGCCAGGTTTTTAATGAACCTGTTGGTGACAGATTTGAACACGGTTGTGCGGCAAGTTGACCATAACACCATGAAGTTTCCTGGCCAGATATGCAAAAAGAAAAATAAAAAATGTTTTAATAAAAAGAAGACAAAAAAAGGAAAGAAAGAAAAGAAGGGTTAAAAAAATTGAAAGCCCACATTTGAGAGTTCATTTCAAAGAACTTAAAGACATTGTATACTGGCAATTTATGTGAAATTATTAAATCACTTTCGTACATATCAAAAAGTCTAGGAGGATTTTGAGTGGTGAGTTTTGTTATTTAATGTTAGGCATAATAGTATTATGATGATGACTCCGTCCCACCTGAGTATAAACAATTTGCTAGGTATTACTTAACCTCTGCCAATCTATTCTAAGTTTGCAAATGAGCTCCGCATTACCAAACTCTGCGATAGAAACAGGACAGAAGCCACACATGTGGCTTAAAATTTTCTAGTACCTACATTTTTCAAAAGTGAAAAGAAGCTGCTGACATTGTATGCCAGAAACTAATACAACATTGGAAATCAACTATACTTCAGTTTTTTAAAACTGTTTTTCAAAAAGCAGGTGAAATTTGAATAGTGTATTTTATTTAACCCAATAAATCCCAAATATTAATTTCAACATGTAACACAAACTTGCACATAACAACAAAGCAAGATAATTACCCAGCTGATTATTTCATCTCATCAGCACTTCAGCTTCTTCCTAGCTTTATAAGGTACACTAAGGACAATTCAGTGTATATTTTAAATAACACAGTATTCAACCTCAAGATACTTTTTAATTTTAGGCATTATGTTCTAAATCACCTAATCCCCCTTAGAAATGATTCAAGTTCTGGACCCATTCTTCCTCCCTCCACATTCCCATTATATTTTCTAATGCTGGATTCCATGACAATCCTCAGTGCCAGGGCGGTGGGCACAGCAACACAGTTAGCACACACAAGCTGCCTACTCCTTATTCCTGGTGTCTAGTTATTTTACTATGGCTCTATTCCTTCTTCAATCTGTAATCATAGTTTTTAAATGCTTATAATTCCTTTCAGATTATTCTACTGTTTCTAGTTCTAGACATGTTAACTTTGCCATTTATTGGGTCTGCTGCTCTCTTTTTATGGCTTTACTCATATGGTTTTTAATGTTGGATTATGAGCTCATAGTACATGGGGTTGTTTTTCTGTGGCAGGCTATAGTCCCTGGTTGTGAAAGTGTTTCAAGTGGCTAACCAAGCACACATTAATAATGTGCTGTGCTTTCATGCGCAGATAAAAAAAACAATATGGTTGAAAGACCATTCTGAGAAAGGTTAATAAGTGTGGAGGGAAATTTTTATCCTGGGGAGAGGCAGGATATTTTAATGACCAAAAGCATAGACCTTGAAGCCTTACTCCTGGATTCAAGTCCTAGCTCTACCATTTACTTGCTGTGTGATCATGGGTGAATTAACTTCTCTGTGCCTCAATTTCTTCATCTGTAAAGTGGATATGCTAACCATGCCTGTGTCCTTGGGGCATTGTGAGGATTAAATGAGCCAAGACAAACAATATATGTACAGCACTTAGAAAAGCTTCTTGTGCCTAAGAGGTGCTATGTAAGTGTATATGTTGCTGCTATTATTAGTTGCATGAAGTTCCAGAGGGTACAAGGAAAGGTCTAACAGAGGCAGAAAGAGTGAGAGTCTGGGCCAGAGTTAAAGAAACCTGGAGCCATATGTAGAGATGATAGAAAAAGACGGCACAGCAAAGGTACCTGGAAGCAATCAGGAGTGAGTGACCAGGTAGGACTGACTGGCCTCCAGGGTCCCAATGGAACACTGGCATCTGCCAAGGAAGAAACTCTTAGGTTTACCCCATGGAGGTCCCTTGGGTGGTGCTGGCAAAATCACAGCAGACTGTCTCACGGGGTCACGATGGGTGCCTGGGACTATGGTGTTTGAGTAGCTGTAACAATTTGAGAGCTCTCTCCTCAGGCCTGTGGGACACACACATCTTGTCTCTCTCCTCACTGTCATCTGGATTCAGTGACTTCACTACAGCCTCATCTGCCAAGCAGGGAGGGCAGGGACCGCTGCAACGTCTGCTCCTTCCTAGAATCTCCTGACTCCACTCACATCACACGAGAGGAATCAGATCAAGGACGTGTCTTCTGCAGATGGAGTCCTGCTCCTGGAATCCATCAAGCCCATTATAAAACAATCCAAACACCCTATAGAAATCTTGCAGCAGCACACAAACCTGATTCATCTTAATAAGGCACTGGAGTGAATTTAAAACCACGAAGGATCAAGAAAATTGAAAAAAGAATCAATGATCTTGACATGGTTCATTAAGAAAATGAAAAATCTCAAAGTAATGATGACTTTCTAATAATGCTTTCAATTCAATTATCTAAACAGCTTGAAACCATCAAGAGATTGTATCCTTACAGGAAAAGTTTTTAAAATCCTATCTGGCCAACAATGTTACAAGTAATAAAATAATGATTACAACTATATTCTTTGTTTAAAAGACTTTTAAAAACATTCATAATTACCTTCCATCTTCCCAATAGGTAGCCACTAAGCACCCTTGTGCATTTAGACTCACAGTTTGAGCCATTAAGAATTTTAGTCAGAATTGAAACTTTGAAAACATTTTATTCAAAATTGTTTGAGGGAAAAAAAAACTACAGTTGACCCTTGAACAAGGCAGAGGTTGATCTGCATACAACTTACAGTCAGCCCTCCATGTCCACAATTCCTTCGTATCTGCGGATTCAACAAACCACGGGTTGTGAGGTACTACATTACTGTTTAAAAAAATCTGCATATAAGTGGACCTATGCAGTTCAAATCTGTGTTGTTCAAAGGTCAACTGTATTTAACTTCTTGCCACTATGGCTAGAAAGTAAAAGTGTCCCTGAATATCTGAGGGCAAGACTTCATTTTGTTTAGGTATGATTCAGACATAGTTCATTATGACACTGATTTTGGGGAAGTTTTTTTTGTTTGTTTGTTTTTTGGGAGGATTTAGGAGGCCCAGTTTTATTATCTCATTTGCTAATTAGATACTTTGGTTTTGAGGGGTTTTTTTAACTTTTTTTTTAATTGAAGTATAGTCAGTTTACAATGTTGTGTCAATTTCTGGTGTACAGCATAATGCTTCAGTCATACCTGAATATACGTATATTTGTTTTCATATTCTTTTTCACTATAAGCTACTACAAGATATCGAATATAGTTCCCTGTGCTATACAGTATAAATTTGTTTATCTATTTTATATGTACCAGTCAGTATCTGCAAATCTTGAACTCCCAATTTATCCCTTCCTACCCCCTTTCCCCTGGTAACCATAAGTTTGTTTTCTATGTCTGAGTCTGTTTCTATTTTATAAATAAATTCTTTTCTTTTTTTTTTTTAGATTCCACATATGAGTGATATCATATGGTATTTTTCTTTTTCTTTCTGGCTTACTTCACTCATAATGACATTCTCCAGGGCCATCCATGTTGCTGCAAATGGCATTATTTTATTATTTTTTATGGCTGAGTAATATTCCATTGTATGAATATACCACAACTTCGTTACTCAGTCATCTGTAGATGGACATTTAGACTGTTTCTATGTCTTGGCTGTTGTAAATAGTGTTGCTATGAATATTGGGGTGCAGGTGTCTTTTTGAATTAAGGTTCCCTCTGGATATATGCCCAGGAGTGGGATTATTGGATCATATGGTAGGTCTATTTTTCGTCTTTTGAGGAAAATGGATGTTTTCCAAAATGGATGCACCAAACTGCATTCCCATCAACAGTGTAGGATTCCCTTTTCTCCACATGCTTTCTAGCATTTATCATTTGTGGACTTTTGAATAATGGCCATTCTGACTAGTGTGAGGTGATACCTCATTCTAGTTTTGAGGAAAGAGTTGGGTTTTTTTTAAATGCCAGAGGACAATAAAAGTGTGAGATTGATTAACTAAACCCATTTTGAGAAGAGCAGAGGTATAAAAGTAACTAGGTGAATTTTAAAGCATTCAGCAGTTCCCTACTGCCACTAAGGAGAAAACAAATACAAACTTCTCAACATCATACAATATCCTTTAAGATATGACCCCTGGCTGCTCCCATACTTACTACCCAAAGTTGCAGCATCATGATAGAATGAAATGACCCTGGAAATCTGTAAAGGGAAAAACCTGTGTTTTTCTCTGAACCCTTAAATCTTCTGCCCAAGCAAAACCCTCAAAGGGAACTCCCTTTCATAAGAGTGAGAAAGAGAAAGCAAAGGAGAAAGTAAGGGTAAGACAAGTTAGGGATAAAGAACTCCTCAGTGTAGAGAAGACAAATGGTACCTGGAAGGTTAAAAAAAAAAAGACACTGTTAAGTTCTGTGAATCGGGGGACACCAATATTAAAAGTTGAGGTTCAAAGTTCACACTTCCAAAGGAAAGTTTAAATAGTTTAAAAAGCATTCTATCTTATTCTGATTTTTTAAAAAATCTTTTTCTCTTGAATCTATACAGATCAATTTCCTGGCTACCCAAAGAGTCAGCACAGGCAAGGTGATAAGTAGCTTTTTGCCACTGGTATTATTATGAATTATGGCCGCAGCAAGAATGTGGGGGAAACCATCTTGTAGCCAGAGGGCTGTGCCTGCTGGTTTTCAGTACAATTTGCTCTTCCTCTGAGTCTAAAAGTTTGAGCCTCTCTCTCACTAATGAAGTGTCAATTTGCTGTAACTTGTGATTAAACTATCTAATATCTGCCCAACTCTGTTTAAGTTGATCATTATTAACATGAGAAAATTGTGACTTTAGTTACAGCTAATCTGATTCCAGAGGGTTTTCCAAAATGATACAGGAGGTTCACATTAAGCAGGAATTGAATTAGGAGGAAAAAGCAATGTATTAAGTTTATTAAAATTCATGGTGAATTTTAAATAACTGCTTTGAATGAAAAGCATCTTATGAAATATATATCCCCAATCTAACCTTGGATGGTTTCTCCTTAGAATACTTGTTCCCAATGAATAATTCAGATAAAATATTAACAGGATTCAGTTTTGCAATACATA